TGTTAATAATAATAGCAATAATATTAATGTAGATTCTTCAGCATAATAAGCAGTCACTTCGCTGAAAATGCTAGACAAACTTACCGATAAACACATAATATAATCAATGTTATCAATAGAAGTGGATAGGACACAACACACTACGAAAAGCACCTAACTGCGTCACGAGACAAGCCCTCACTTGGAACCCTCAAGGTCAAAGGAAAAGAGGAAGGCCAAGGAACACATTATGCCGAGAAATAGAGAAAGATATGACAGGAATGAACAAACATTGGACAGAACTGGAAAAGGAACCCCAGGACAGATTTGGTTGGAGAAAACTGTTGGTTGGCCTATGCTCCATTGGGGGGTAACAGGCGCAAGTAAGTAAGTAAGTAAGTAAGTAAGATTCCTCAGCATAATAAGCAGTAACTTTGCTGAAAATACTAGACAAACTTACCGATAAACACATAATATGATCAATGTTATCAATAGAATAATACTGATAATTGTTGTTAAAGCAGCGGATAAAAATAGGCCAATTGTTAACACAGATGGATTTTGTGATGTAGGTGTCATCGTTGTTGTTGTTGTTGTTGTTGTAGCTGATGAGATGAGATTACTAGATAAACTATGCGTCAATGATGATAAATTCCAATTTGAATATTTATCCACAGTATCATTTTCAAAAGATTGATAATTGAATATAGGTGGCGGGGAAATCAAGTTTTGATTATGCATTGAATGTAATGTTGATGTAGATATAGGTACAACATGATTTGATTGACTGTACATGCCGACATGGTTAGTTTCATTTATTTGATCATGGTTGAACTCAGCTACAGTGTTCACAGTTGTATTGTCTATGAAACAAATGAATGAATCGAGAAGAATGTAGGTTATTAATTTGTAAACAGTTAAAATAAATTATCCTGTTTATTATTCCTGTGAATAGGTATATTAGATTCATTATAACGATTAATATTCAACATTTAATCTCTTTGATATGTTATGTTCCTTGAGGTTGAGAGTTAAATCACCTTCCGAACAAATTTACTTTGGTAATATACATTTACATTATGTACACAAACAACGTTGAAGATTATTGATATGCTCGTCAATTGATATACTTGAAACCAGTACGAATTCCCTTTAATCGGTAAACGAGAGCTAAGATAAGTGATGCGGTGACAAGGTAGGCTATTCCAATCCGTTGTCCCAAGCCTTGCTAATTATATCAAGAAGACTTGATAAGGCGTAGAAAGTGTATTCTACAAGTACCTAGAAACTATGAAGTTGACAAGCACACATGAGCGAAACGTCTTTAGGAGAGCCACGAAAATAGCGTACTAAAATGCCACATCAACCAATAACAGTCAAGGATTTTCCTGGTGGGAAATGTAATCTCAAGGTCAACTGATTAGCCCATACGCAAAAACACAACATCCAAATTTAGGACTTTTATAAAGTGAGTTCTGGGTATCTAACGTCCCAAACAGTTATGTAACCTGTTTATTGTCTAACGAAACGATATAACTTCTATTCACAAAGGTAAATGTGAGGATCGCTACACTGATGACTACCGATTAAGAAATCTAATCTTTATGTTCAGAGAAGGTAGATTTCTGCTTGTAAATGTCATTTGAAGATACATACAATTATTCTTGTTTGAAAGGTATAGTGAAGTCCTAAGTAGATGCAATGAGAGATTTGTTTGTAGTCAGTCAGTCATTTACAACGTAGAACTTCGTACGTAAGTACATCAGTTCATGTTGCCATTCCACATTAGCACAGAGACTCAATTGTCAACTCAAATCCCATAGTGGTAGAGATAGTAGAAGAATAACTGCTAATAGAGAAGATTAGGATTCGAAGACAATATTCAAGAAGTATGATTCAGTGAGATAAGATTAGAAAGACAAAGGTAGAGGTGTTGACGAATCCATAAGATTAGGATTTGAGAAAACACAAAGAGTGGATGTACCTGCGCCATTGCAAACGATTTTGAGCCATGTCATTCAAGGACTCTAATCATCGATGACTTTCGCCTCGAGGGATTTGTTTGTAGAAGATACAGTTTATCAGGAAAATATGTACAAATTATCTTCAGACTTCCATTTTCAAAGCAATCTTCTTCCAAATGTCTTCTAGTCTTCAGAACACTCTGATTTCAACAAACATTAGCACTGACACTCTTTGGTTCATCACTAACTTCAGGCGAAACGTTGCTGCATATTGATTGCATACTACTCATGAACCACGTTGTGAGTAGTGTCCACTACATCATCCCTTATCAGGTGTTCCATTCACAATTAGAGATATGCCTATCGAATGGATTACTTAATAATGGTTTTCGGGATGATCAGAAACTATACAAGCTTTGGCCTAACTTGAACTCAAAAGCTTAGTCCTAATGGCACAACAACACTGCTACCAAGATCCATAATGTTGATAAATCTATGAGACTTCTTTACTGGTAAAATTAGCCCAATTATATTTCATTCAAGATATTTTTAATCCTCACGAAAAGTCATAACCATTCGGTTAGACATTTTAAATAACAGTTTACATTGTAAGCTAACTTTACTTAGATGTGCATTATTCCACAATCCTACCATCAAGTTGACCTATGAACTTGTGAACTCTGTATAGTAGAACGTTTCTTTCAGAGTTCTAGGTGAATCCAGTTTAGTGAATCCCATTTCTAACTGAATTTAATTCAAACAGACTAATCAACCATAATTCATATTCATCAGTGCTGGCTGTACTAGTGATCACATGATTATATATATAGATTACGTAATTCTGTTAAAATTTTAGAATAGGAAAATAATTTGATTATCATGCGTTAAAATGTAGGTAGGTTGTAATCACACAAAATTATTATCATTATCATTGTTTAAATTAGATAGAACACAAATTCAATGATACATTTCAAGATAACATTGAGGTTTCCATGTGAAACTGTTGTAGTTGTAGTAGTTGTAGTTATATAAGACTTTATTTTCAATTAGAGTTATGGAGATTAGTGTTTTTACTCATTTGAAATCATCAATCAATCATTGTTAGACCACCATTAGCAATCTAGAAGCACTGGACAGCCGTTTCGTCCTGGTATGGGACTCATCAGCAGTGCGCATCCACGACTCCTAACAATGACTGATTAATGATTTCGAATGTGTAAAAACACTAATCTCCATAACTCTAATTGAAAATATAGTAAAATGTGCTTACTAGTGACTAGCTTCGTGAGGAAATTCTAGGAGTTCTAGAGAGAAGACGTGACCAATGGAGTTCAACCATGTGGGGAGTAGGCAGTAACTACCAAAGAGGTTAGGCGTTCGCGCACAGTACTGAAGGTCCCAGGTTCGAATACTGCGAGATGCAGGATTCAGGGATGCGCACTGCTGATGAGTCCCATACCAGGACGAAACGGCTTTCCAGTGCATCCAGGTTTTCTAATGGTGGTCTAACAATAATTGATTGATAATTTCAAATATAGTACTTTCTCGGTATTTCATATTTAGTTGGAATGGTACTGTTAGGATATGCACCAAATATCCTAAGAGGATTATCGGTAAGTCTAATTCTATTGGTCAATTCCTTTAGGTTGTCCAAATTATCAATGACCCATATTTCAATGTTGTTTCTTATTCGACCTGACTGTATAAATATGCACTATTTGTAACGTTTTATGACCGGGATCTTTAGTCCGGGATCCTTAGCCTCTTCTGGACTCGGACCTCGTACTTTCTGGATGCTTTTAGAATGCACGTTCTACTTCATATCAAGTCTTCTATTTAATTAGGGGTTGGGACACTCGGATTAGAGTAGCCTGTTGTGTCGCCAGATCATCGATCCTCGCTCTCGTTTACTGACTAAGAGGTGAACTCGTAATAGGTCAAGCACATCAACTGACGTGTTGACTTGAGTTCATAACAGATATTTTACAAAGCTTCACATTACTGACACTATTCTTTGATTAATATGCAGGAAACAAGTATTCCACTTGATGATAGATAGAGTTGTTTAAAAGGAAAAATTCTATAAGCACACAATTGTAGTCAAACTAACATTGTTAATTTAATAATTCCACTTAATCATTGGTTTGTTTAAACAGGTGACATTTGTTTCTCACGACTCTTATGCATGATTATATAAGTAAGTATTCATATTTTGGTAATGCTTTCACAAACTTGTTCCCTTTTGAAATTACCTAAATGTTCTGTAAATCGGTTATTATCAAAGCATAGAAAATTGTTTAATAGGCTATTAGAAGAAAGAAATAATGTCTTTTTTGTATATGTATATATACTGAGCATTCCATTAAGAATTCATTCATGTGGTAGAAACAAGTTTAAAGGTGTGAAATATTGAGATGAAATAAGAACAAAGTATTGAAAATTTATTACAGTGGGATATTTATTTAGCATGGTATCTTTTTTTTGAAAGCATTTATAGCTGATATTTATTCCGTGTAAGATCCATTTTTTCATGATCCCACTATTTTCTCATTAAAGTATTATGGGTTGACATTGAAATCATGAATGAATCGTTGTTAGACTACTATGATGAGTAATCTGAAAGCACTGAAGGACCATTTCGTCCCAGTATTAGACTCATCAGCAGTGTGAAGCCACGACTCCTACTACTCAGAGGATTCGAACCCAGGAATTTCAGTCTCTCGAGTGAACGCTTAGCCTCTGGAACACTGAGTCGGGATCCAAAGATGTTAATGTCCAACGTGACTAGTGTAGTTCAACCCTATCGGGTGAAGGCGGTAACTACTAAAGACAAGGGCTAGGGTTGCTAGACTGATCAAAGTTAGACTATGACTACCTTTAGATGCCGACTCAGTGGTTCAGAGATTAGGTGTTTATGTACATGGCAGAAGCTCCTGGTTTTGAATCTCGCGAGTAGTGGGGCTCACGGATTCATACTTCTGATGAGTCTCATGTTAGGAGGAAACAGCCGTCCAATGCTTTGAGGTTTCTCATGGTGGTCCCACAGTGATTCATTCATGACTTCAGTCCCACTGTTTTAAACCGCATATATGCCATTATCAAATGAACTGCCTGATTCAAACACGATTTTTGATTACTGATGTAAAGAATTAATAATCCCTGAACAACGAAAGTGTAGTTCATAGCCGAATACATACATTTAAATTTGGTATGTGATTAGTATCTTTTGATATCAAATACGTTATAAAGTACAGTTTAATATTGAGTTAGCGAACGGTTGAAAAAATTCTTTTCACAAAATAACGATTCTTATTCGTAAGTGTAACCATTTTTTAGAAAGAATTTATCAGATGACATTAATCTATATTGTCTTTAATGATTACGCTCATATTTACTCTAAAATGATGCTCAAGCTATGATGATCAAGTTTATAGTTTGTCAGTAGCCGACGTAACTTGAGAACCAACAAACGGATCATCCTGCCATACGTAAAAGACAAATCGAAAATTACAGCCCTACTACCAAAACCATTTGGAATCGGTGTAGCACACAAACTAACAGAATCACTTCAATCAATCCTATGTAAACCAAAGGACAAAATGACAAAGGAAGACAAACCAAATATCATCTACAAAATAAATTGCTCAGACTGTGAAAAACACTAAATAGGACTAAGTGGACGGCCCCTTCATCAACTCGGTTTACGTGAACATCAATTAGCAGTTAAACGCCCCGATAATTCTTCGCTTATATCAATCCAAGTGGACAATTATGGACATACATTTGATTGGAACAATGTGGAAATACTGGATAGGGGGAGCACAAAGAAAACTAGAGAACTTTTAGAAGCTTGGCACTCAGGCCAATCAGCAATTGACAAAAGCATCGATATTGACCCAATTTATCAACCAATCATAAAAATCATAAGTGACATAGGATCGAGAAACAGATCAAAAGGGGGATACAATCAAAACAAAGCTGCAAACAAATATAGGTTTAAGGTCAACAGCAACCGATCAGGATGGAAGTCAAGAGAACAAACGACGGATCGTAAATGAGGAAATTCGAACACTTCACTTCTATCTGAAGTTTATGCTGATGACATTATTCAGTGGAACAATGAGAGCTCCACAACCAAAACATCCAGCTCAGAGAACGAAACTCCACCACAATCATCCGCCTAAGGTACAAATTTTCCCTACTATCTCATGATAGTGTTTCATTTTATTTGGTGTCAGTCGAAGAGCTCTTCAACAATGATGCACGATAAAGTGTGTTTGCATCTCATTAGATCAATATTTTCCTCAGCAAATCTGCCTGGTATGTAACATAAACCTATAGACACAATTGAAAAATGTTCGATTATAGTTTGTTGTTAATGCAAAACTTACATTTCGGTGAAAGTAAAAATATTGGAGAACTATACGGACAGTAAGCGTTAGGATTTTGAGCTCGAATCTGTTAAAATGAAAAACAGAACAAACGGAAAAACAAATCAAACTGTCAACGTTGTTTGTGGTATGTACATTACAAATAAAGTCTTTAGTTGTTTGAAAAAAAAGTTGATAATCTTGGGGATGTTAGATTCTCAGAACTCGCTCGATAAATGTCTTTATTTTGGATTTTATTCATCGGCTGATCAGTTGACCTTGAGATCACAGTTCCCACCAGGGAAATCCTTGTCTGTGATTGGTTGATGTGTTATTTTAGTGTGCTATTTTTGTGACTCTTCCAAGGACGTTTCTATAATGTATAAATAAACGCGATTTGTGTGCTTGGATTCATTGTGTGCTTGTTGGGTGTTTGTAGAATACATTTTCTACGCTATATCAATACTTCTCGCTAGTACATTTGGGTTAAGGGATCAGAGTAGCCTACCTGGACGCTGGTTCATTGTCTCGTTCTCGTTTATCGACTAAAGTGAACCCGTAATAGTTATAAGCATACCTAGTGACTAGTATAACAGATAAGAGTAAAAATTTATCACTGTTTTGTAATAAATTCAAGAACTCAACCATGTATGTATATATATAACTAACGATGCATTGAAAGTAGTCAGTTTAGGAGTAACTTTATGTTTGGGCATATTTATTACTCAATGGAATCACTAAACTGTATCACAAGATTAAACCGTAAAGCGAAATTCTCAAAGGAAATAGGAGCATGACAGCATTGAACAAATAGTGCCAGGAATTGGAGGCTGGTATTAGGACCGCAAGCAGTAACTCAGAATGACTACTGGAAAAGGGATCCTGGTAAAGAAATGCTTGAAGACCATTGGACAGAATATCCCCTTACAAAAAAGTACGGTTCGCAACTTGGAATGAAACATTTTGAATCGGGTGAAAATAATCTAGCCAGTCTTTCCTACCAATCAGTCAGCAGTACTCAACACAGAGCCTGACACATTTGTGCATAGGTTCAGATAATCCCAGTGAAACAAAATAATTTCAGGAAAAATCGTAGAGCAGAGAAGTAATAGTAGCAGTAGGAATAGAATACATTAGATAAAGAGGTTTCCTTGAGGAAGACAGGGAGCGAATGTACCAGCACAATTTTGAACGGCTCTCCAATCACCACAAAAACTAGGTAGTCTACAGTTATTAACACGGTAGTTTCACTGACTGGCTCCGCGTCTTGATCTGGACATCCCTGGCCTTTTTACTGAATCTACTACACCTGTTTAGTTAGGCGATATTTCGGCACATGAAGATATATAACTGAATCGATCTTTGTTCTGTATTTACCTGGATTGTATGTCTAATTTAAACAATGTCCACTCCGTGATCGCAAAATTCATGCGCAGTGGATTGAAGACACATAGTGGAATAGCGGTGATTGTTGATGACTTGGTAATCCAGTGAAGTTTTCTGAATTAGTTGATGCTGAAAATTAAGAGTATTGCTTTCAAACTGATTAGCCTCACAGTTTTAATTTTCTATTAAATAAATTAATCATTGTTAGACCACCATTAGAAACCTGGAAGTACTAAACAGCCGTTTCTTCTTACTATAAAACTCATCAATAGTGCGCGGCCTCTGCTACCCTACGTAGGAATCGAACCTGGGACCTTCGGTCTTGCTCACGAACGCTCGATCACTGAGCTGGCATCCAAGGGAGTTAATATGTAACTTTGATCATTCTAATGAATTTCGCACAACCTCACCCACTGTCTTCAGTAGTTACTGCCTACATTCGACAGTGTTGAACTGCACTAGTCAGGTCTTCTCATTATCACTCGGAAATTTCCTTACGAGGCTAGTCACTAGTGAGCGAATTTTGTGAAGATATAGATGTCATTCGTGTTACCTTGAAACCTGGGTCCTATTGCTGAGTAACAAGAGTCTTGGATGCATACTACTGATGAGTCCCATACCAGTGCTTCAGGTTTCCAATGGTAGTCGGACGACGATTGACTCAAGATTCCAATATAGAACAATGATTTCCCTCACTTCTTAATGTAAAACGTTTTTATCATATCACTGTGAAGCCTTTCACCAAGATCAGTCAGTAACTCTTTATCTCCTATGGTACTTTAAGTGATAGCAATCTAAAAAATCACTTACTTGTATTAAAAATCCTGACTTTGCATATAAATTGTATAATATAATTTCTGATCGACTAGTATAATGTACAGCATCCGGATGTCCAATCAATCCAGTACCATGTGTGCGATCAGTTCGTTGTGTTGTTTTATCGAATTGAAATTGTTGTCTTATTCGTCTAACATGATTATTATTATTATTATCGACATTGTTATGAATGAAATTATCCTCAATGTGAGTGATATTTACATCAGTTTGTTTATTACTAACATTCATTTTAGTAGAATAATAAGTCAAACTGTCCATTGAATAACTATCCATAAGGAATTTTTTTCTGATTTGTTTGTTCAAATAAACATAATTGAAATTTGAACGGTGTTACACTAGTTGATATTTTGTATATTTTAATGGTGTTTGGATCATCCAATTGTGTGGTAGTAGTTGTTACATTGGATGACGATGTGAATGTTGCTGTTGTTGTTGAGGATGATGATGACGATGATGTTGGTTGTGAAGGTGTTGTTATTTGATAAACTTCCCATTTCACATGAACTGTACTTTCATTTAACCAATTTGTTTGAATATCCGAAATTAGATAAGTAGGTGCTTTCGTCAATGGAAAATGAATAATAAATCAAGACATTTTGGTTAAGATTAAATGAAATGTAGTGAAATGATTCGGATAATGATTAAGCATCATAAGAAAAAGCACGCAGCATTATTTTCAATCAGATCGTCATCAGATTTTACTCTAATATACATGAATATTTATATGGAAAACTCAAACCGATAAAGGCAATTTATGGGTCAATAATAGATTACGTGACTACACATAATAGGTAAAAGCACAAGTTGATAGTACGTAGACAGGTGTGTTGATAGTAGTAAGAATACTAAAATAGGATAACGAAAGTTTTCGTAAGTGGTTCATCAAATTCTTTTGAGCACATTAACTGGTTTTAAAGGTTCGTATTCCTATAACTGTTACTATATTTGTAGGAGAAGAGATCGAACCCTGTTTAGAAATGTTGGGGGAATGATTCGGTTTCATCTATAATATGACCACTATCGATCAGCTGTATATATTTGTATTTGCCCATTTTCAAAATCTTGCTGGATGACATTTACTCATACATTGGTTGTCTGGTAGTAAGACCAATATAGCTAACTTCACAGGAGCAGCTGAATTTACATATACATATATTGTGGTGGTGTTTAGTTCTCTGAGCTGGTTGTTTTAGCTGTGGAGCTTTAATTGTTCTTCTGAACAACATCATCATCAGCACAAACTTCAGATATATATATATATATATATATATATATATATATATATATATATATATGTTAGTCAGCGTCAACGTAGGACTTTGTACCTACGTACATCAGTTCAAGTTACCACATACTACATTAGCACACAGATGCAACTGTCCATTCAAATCCCATTGTAGTAGTAGAAGAATTAGCATTAATCGGGGAGATTAGTATATATATATATATATATATATATATATATATATATATATATATATATATATATATATATATATATATAAATGAACTGTTGTTAAATTTAGTTTACACTATCAAATTAACTTTGATGTCTATTTTTTTCGCCGATTTCTATTTTTAACTTATTTTTTCTTTAAATTTAATGTAAAGTAAAGTTAGATAACATGTTTAGTGATGAATTTGTCAAAGGATAAAATAAACAATGGTTTTTGTTTTAGTCTCTACTTTACGTCTAGACATTATGCATAAGGTATCTTTGTTCCCTACTTGTTTTCTAAGTGGTAAGTTCTTTAAAAGAAGAAAATGTCATGATAATCACTGGGATGTTGAAATAGGTTATTTTTGTGTCACTTATCACCAGTAATACGTATAGGTCTGTTTATTGATGTGAAATATAGGGCGAATAAAATAGTGGATGGCAGCTCATATTGTGGTGAGAGCTACTTATAAGTAGTATATGACGTGAGTAAAAACGTAATGTCTGGCAGCAGAAGATGGGGGAAGATCAAGAAAGGAAGAGTTAGAAAACAATGGAATTTGTATGAAACACATGAATAGTGACAATGGATTGATGTTGTTTGCAACAGGAACAGTCCAGTTCGATATGATGAACTGATATTTTGCAAATTAACGATTTACGATATGGTTTTCCGATTTTACTGAGTTACTCTGTAATTTTCGTTAAATACAATTCGGTTTCTCCCACCTCTGTTCTCGTTCACTACAATAACTCTTTGTTAGGCAAAATTCATTTCCAATTCATTTCAACTGTTATGTGTTTCTGGTTTGATAACTTAGACCCAGTCAAGGTGTGACGTGGTGTATTTGAACGAAAATGTAAACTCACTACAACTTGACTTATATCATAATCGTTGAAAATCATAAACTCATTCAAGTGTAGATGCAGGCAGGATATTCAGTGAATGCTAAGAGCATCACAGTATTTAAAGTAGTATATTGTTCATAACAGTTTACACTATCGGTGGTTGCACTATACATCTCTATACATGAAGATTGATTTAACTTTCAAGCTGCACACCAAATATGATAGCTATCGCTGAAACAACATTCAGGGAATTAACCAGTTATTTGTAAGACCAAGTACCAAAAATATGAAAAGGGTTAGGATATTCATCAAATATCCCAAGAGAATATTTTTTGTAAGTCTAATTCTGTTGGTCAATATTACGGTTGTCTTAGCTATCAATGTTACGTACTTCAATGTGGTTGTCTGACCACCAATGTCACTTCAGATGTTGTTTCCTATCGGCCATACTAACTGTCAATGTCACAGTCATCAAGGTTGGTTCCTATTCGACTTAACTGTATAAATACGCATTGTCTGTAACGTTTTGTGTCCCGGACCTGGATCCTTAGTCCGGGAACCTGAATCTCTTCTGAACTCGGACCTCGTACTTTCTGGATGCTTGTAGAATACATATTCTACTTCATATCAAATCTTATTCTTCTTCTCACTGGGAGGTTGGGACATTCAGAATCCAGTTTCATGTTATGTCTCCGGATGCTCTATCCTCGTTCTGATTTCCCGACTAAGGTAAACTCGTAATCGTTCAAACATATCAAAATGACGTGTTTACGTGCATGTGTAACAAAAAGAGACTCCATCTGTTAAGTAACGAGGATTGAAAAAAATGTTATGAGCTCGATATAATGCATTTATTCGTCATTTGATCTGATATGCATCTGTGAAATTATATAATTGAAACTGTACGACCGAAACTGTTGTGTCTAGTTCTGTTGGATATACAGGAGCTCTCTAATTGCTGTATTATCATTGGTAAACATGCGCAAGGTTCCTACATTTTACTGATAAGGATTTTCCAACGATAGATGGAATGAAGTTATCAAAATCACAAAAAAGAAACGTGATTTTGAAAAATGAAACACAATTAATTTGTCATGAAATAACAAATTTGATATGAATCAAAAATATTTGCATTTCAATTCACCTGATCCAGTTGTTACCATTACACTAGCTACATTAATCCACATTGTTCCTGTTCTAGTCGACACAGCATTATGTGCATAAACATCAAATTGATAACGTGTTTGTGGATTTAATCCTGTTATTGTCACTCTGAAACAAAAACATAATTCTTAATACAGTACAGTAAGGAATGAATTGACAAAAGAAACGATAACTTTGTGCCCTTTAACATCCGATAGTGAGTTTATTGTTATAAGTATTAAAAATGTTTAACTTACACGCTGTTACGCAACAAGGTGACAAGATACGAACACTAAACAGATATCTTTTCTAAACTTTTGACTTCAGTACTATTTTAATGTAATTCAACATATTAGAACAACACATATAAGCGAACAATATTACTGTTTTCGATTAGATCATCATCAGGCTTTCTACTCTAATATACATGAATATTTATATGAAAATGTTAAACCAATCAAGGCAATTTGAGTGATAATCACAATGAAATGAAATAGAGATTACGTCACTACATATAACAGGCAAAAGTACAAGTTGATAACTGTAGAAAGACAGGTGTACTGATAGTAGTAAGAAAATTATAAAGTACGATAACTAAAGTTTTATCAATAGTAGGTCAAAGGTGGATGAGTAGACTTTAAATAAACATTAAAAACATCAAAACCACTACGTAATAAGCAAATGTGTAAAAATAAAAATAAAATAAAATAAGATAAAAAATATATGATGTCAAGCGATAGTTAGGTCATATTCGGCCACGGAAGAGATAGGGGTGTCACGAATTTCTTCTGAACACATAAATTGGGGTTGAATTTACGTATTCCTATGGCTTCTGCAATGTGTAGGAGACGCGATCGAACTCCGTTGGGAAACGATGGAGGTATACTATAGATCACTCTAAAAGATCTAGATTTATCTACAATGTGACCATTCACTACCAGGTATGCTAAGATAGAACTGCGTATTGTTTTGACTGACCCTTCTTAAACCATACGGGGAGATGTTCACTCATTCGTTGGTTAAGTTGCCTGGTAATACGCCCGATATAGTTATCTCCTCAGGCGCAGCTGAATTTGTACTTTGCCTATTATATGTAGTGACGTAATCTTTTTCATTTCATTGTGATTATCACTCAAATTGCCTTGATTGGTGTAACATTTTTATATAAATATTCATGTATATTAGAGTAGAAAGACTGATGACGATCTAATCGAAAACAACACTATTGTTCTATTATATGTGTTGTTCTAATTTTCACAATGGGAATCTTTAAAATTCAATATATATAGATCCCAAGTTGATAAATACAGCACTTTATCATTTGCCCCAAGGATGCTGTTGCTGTTTAAGCACAGTTGTTCTTCTTTGATTTTCAAGTCATATTATCTCAAAGTGGCGTGTAAACAGCTAATATTGATGTGTTTCTGTATGACAAGCGTTTGGTCCTGTTTGAGTTCCCAGTGGTTGTCATTCGTGTCGATGACAACAATTCACGTACAATTTATAGGTAGTAAATTGTTGGGGATTTTAGATCCCCAAAACTCGCTTGATAAATGCCTTATTTTGGATTTCACGTTTGCCAGCATGGGTTGACCATTCGACCTTGAGATTTCATTTCCCACAAGGGAAATCCTTGACTGTGATTGGCTGCTATGTATTTTAGTATGCTATTTTTGTGACTGTCCCAAGGACGTTTCTGTGATGTATAAATAAACGAGATTAGTGTGTGCTTGATTACATTGTGCTTGTTGGGTGTTTGTAGAATATACTTTTTCTACGCTATATCAAGACTTCTGTTTCGCCGTTTTTCGGATCAAGGTAGCCTACTTGGACGCTGGTTCATAGTCTCGTTCACGTTTATCGACTAAAGTGAACCCGTAATAGTTTCAAGCGTACCTACCTACTGACGAACTTAACATAAGGACAATCCGAATAACCATAAACCTCCAATACTCTACATTCAACCATATTTATCAATACCTAGTACACAAATCAATTTTGCATAAAGTTTTCAGCAGATCAATCAAATTAATGAGACGTTTATTCTGTGGTTATTATTATTATTATTTATATTCAGCCTATTTCTATTTGTTTGTCTTTTTTTGCTTCATGTTAATTGACATTTTTAGTCTTTCGCCTTATTTGATTTTCATTTTTCTATCTTGTACCACAAAGTATATGATAATAATAACAATAATAACAATGTAAGAACAGTTGAACAAAATTTACAGATAAAAAAATAAAGTTAAAAAATGTACCGTCTCACAAAGTACAAATCATTGATGAATATGTTTGTCTAGACACACATATCAGATTAGTATTTTTTTGAAAAAAAAAATATTGAAAATTTTCATTGCGACTTGTTTTGTTTTGTTTTTTAATCTATGGGTTTATAGAATCAAATGAATTCATGAAATGATCTTAACTAGACTACTATGGACTACTGAAATGCAGTGGATGAAAGTTTTGTTCTAGCATGAGGGGACACTCTTCGGACGTTTGCATCCACGACCTATTCATAGGGTTGAAAAATTTCCACAGCCGAAGACAATGTACGATGGTCGCGCAAGATCGTGGATTGATTCAAGTAGACATTACCATCGTTAGACGCCGACTCAATGGTTATGAGGTTAAGCATCTACGCGCGTGATCGATGGTCGTGTGTTGCGGATGCACACTTCTGAGGAGTTCTTTACTAAGATGAAACAGCCGTCCACTGCTTCTAGGTTTCTAATGGTTGTCTAACAATCAAAGGTTCATGATTTAAGTCAAATTCAACATTCTTCACAACTGCATACTGACAATATAATGTTCGTTAGGACAAAGTACCCTAACAAGATGATATCAAGAGATTTATTCATTTAAAAACATCATCTACAATGAAATATTGATTTCAATTACGGGGTTGTGAAGATTGTTAAGATTTTTTGAAACCATGAATCGATCATTGTTAGACCACTTTTAGAAACCTCAATGCACTGGACGGCCGTTTCGTCCTGATATGGGACTCCTCAGCAGTGCGCATCCACGTTTCAAAAAGAATATTGATCTAAGATTAGTAAATCTAATCTTAATGAACCTAATTTTTGTTGGAAACCCTAGTTTGTGTACCTAATCAAGAACTTAACGGGTAATTAACTGGAATTTGAAGTAGACATTGTTCGTAGAGACTAATCTTCATTGAAAATTTGTTTTGTAACATTTTCAGCGAATTTTATTGAATGGAATATCTCATATTCATTCAAGTTTGTCTATATGGACAAATAAATTTATATATATTTTTGTGCAAAGTAGTAGAACGGAAGTGTATTTTTTTAAAAATTATATTGCAACAGCCTACCTAAACTATAATATACTCATTCAATCATTTTGACGAATAAAATAATGAACTTTTACGAACGGTTTAAATATGTAAATTAGTTCAAATCAAATCAGTGAGTGATACTGTAGGATTTAATTTGTCCTACAGATGTAATTCTAGAACGGTAAACGCAATATTGGCGAGCACAGAGTCTATGGGAAAGCTATAGTCAGAACAAGACCAATTTTGCTTTAAACTTTTATGTGTTTCGACCAATATAGCGTGTCTTTGGAAATGAGTAAAACTATGAGTCACATCAATATAAAATAAGATAATAATGATCTTTGATTAGTAGGTCATTTACAACAAGTAAGTTTACAGACACGTCAGACCAGATCACGTGGTGGGCGCTTAAACCACAATTTGATTGGTTAGTTACGACATAACCACAATTAGTTATGGAAATAACTAACAGATACTTCAAATCATTTGTAGCTAGTTTGATGCAAAACAAACAATTTTTATTTTTACTTTATGTTCGAATCCTGTGAGTAGCAAGAGACGTGGATGCTGATTGCCAATGTATCCACAAACAGGACTCGACGACCGTCAGTGCTTCCAGGTTTTTCAAAGTAGTATAACAGTTAATGATTGATGATTTCATTGTAAAAACACTGATCTCCATAACTCTAAGCAAAAAAAATCATACAATGAGTTCACTAGTGACTAGCTCCGTGAGGAAACTCCCACTGTTCTACTGAGAAGTCGTGACCAGTGAAGTTTCAGCCTTGTCCGGTGCAGGTCATAACTACCAGAGACAATGCAGTGAGGTTGCGTAAAAAATTCCTCAGATTAATCAGAATTAGATATTAACACTGTTGAATGCCGGCCGAGTGGTCAAGAGGTTAGGAGTTCGAATGCAAGATTGAAGGTTCTGGGTTCGAATCCTTCAATGAGCAGGAGTCGTGGATGCGCACTACTGATGATTTCCATACCAAGACGAAACGGCCATCCAGTGCTTTCAGGTTTCTAATGGTGGTCTAACAATGATTGATTTATGGCTTCAATGTGTAAAAACTCGTTATTTCCACAAATAATTTATTGCTTATAAATGTGTTAGGATATTCATCAAGTATCCTAAGAGAATTATTGGTCAAATCCTATTGGTCGATTTCTATTGGTCAAAGTTATGGTCGTTTTAACTGTCAAAGTCAAATACTTCAATGTTGTCTCTTATCGGTCATCCTGACTGTCAATGTCATTTCAAATGTTACTTCCTATTGGTCGTCTTAACTGTCAATGTCACAGAATTCGATGCTGTTTCCTATTCGACCAAAATGTATAAGAATTCGCATTATCTGTAACGTTTTATGACCACGACCAAGACCAGGACCAGGGCTCGGTCCCGGATCCCTAGTCCGGGATTCTGATTCTCTTCTGGATTCGGACCTCGTACTTTCTGGATGCTTGTAGAATACAGGTTCTACTTCATATCAAGTCTCTTTATTTTTTACTAAATATGGTGGTTGGGCTAATCGGATTTGAGTAGCATGTCAAGTCGCCGGATCCTTGATCCTCGCTCTGGTTTTCCGACTAAGGTAAACTCGTTATAGTTCAAGTTTATCAAGTTGACGTGTTTACGTTCAGGCGTAACAAAATTATTCTATATTAATTTAGAATATTGCTGCTCTTCATGAGTTTCTTTCTTTTTCTTTGAGATCTCATTTTACAACAAAACTAAATTACAGGAAAGATTAAATTACTCACGTCTATCTAATTTATTGCCTTTGTTTATTGCACATTACCACGCCATTAGTTAAATGTTCAATTTTTTTATTATTGATGTGTATTTTTTCTCGTAAAAACGTTGTCTTTTTATTCATAATCCTTTGAAATTAACATTTCCTCATGTTGAAAACATGTCAATGAGCCTTAAACATCATACTATTTAAACAAATAATCAAGTGTGTGTTTTATGATTAGGAAACTTTTATAGTTTAGATCACTGTTGATTTTGTACTTGACCACTGGGCTCGGTTGTAATTGTGTGTCATGTCTGACTTGAATTATTTCGTCCTATAACATGGTCATCTTTCATTGTCTGTGATGGAAAACGTTATCGGGTGATCGATGCTGATCTAGTTGAGATTAGGTCGTGATTTAAATTATGAATATTCCATAATCTTCACTAATATTTCTGTAAACCTTTGAAATCATCAATCAATGATTGTTAGACCACCATTAGAAACCTGGAAGCACTGGACAGCCGTTTCGTCCTGGTGTGGGACTCATCAGCAGTACGCATCCAAGACTTCTGCACCTCGCAGGATTCGAACCTAGGACCTTCGGCATTGTGCGCGAACGCCTAACCATCGGACCACTTGGCCATGGGACCATTACCAGAGACAGTGGAATGAGGTTGCGCAAAAAATTCCTCAGATTGATCAGAATTAGATATTAACACTTTTGGATGCCGGTCGAGTGGTCGAGAGGTTAAGAGTTCGAGTGCACAACCGGAGGTTCTCGGTTCTAATCCTTCAATGAGCAGGAGTCGTGGATGTGTACTGCTGATGAGCCCCATACCAAGACGAAACGGCCGTCTTTCAGTGCTTTCAGGTTTCTAATGATGGTCTCTAACAATGATTGATTGATGATTCCAATGTGTAAAAACACAAAACTGCCCGAAAGTTATTTTGTACCGAAAATGGAATTATTTCAAATATTCGCATGGTTGCCTTTGTAGATGATTTAGAATAATTGAGATTTTGGTAGATGAAACAGTTGTTTGTCATTTTCTACCAGGAACCATATTGGTGTAAGTCAAGGGCTTCATCATAGTACAGTAATGAGATCTGTCTCAAACATAACGATTTTACTTGAAATGTATGTATGTCAAAATGCGATATGAGAAATTTGAGAAATACAGAATGCTGTTATTCTGCTAATTAATATACTAACCTGAATATCAAAAACATTGAAATGTCTATGAAATAGACTATGAGCTAAGCTTTTCATACAGCCTACTAAAGTGGATTTCACTTGGATTACATCACCAAAGCTTTTATCGAAATAATTTACTCTCTTTCCACAATAACTACTTACTTAGTCTTGTTCAAATGATTTCCAGGTTGATATTTCACCGTATCTATTTGACATCCTTGACATTGAATATGATATAAGGTTTCATGAAAACCACCTGAACGAATTGGTGGATCCCAAGATAAAACCACTGAGGTTCCGTTGATGTGGATAGCATTTAAATTTCTTGGAGCTGATGGTGGGCCTGTAAAAGATTGTGCATAAAACCAAATTGTACGCATTAATTCTACATTAAAATAAGTCAATAACTTTTTGTTTACTGTTGGGGATGTTAGATCCCCAAAACTCGCTTCGTAAATGCCTTATTTTGGATTTCACGTTTGCCAGCATGGGCTGACCAGTTGACCTTGAGATTTCAATTCCCACCAGCAAAATCTATGGCTGTGATTGGCTGTTGTGTATTTTAGTGTACTATTTTCCTAACTGTCCCAAGCTACAGGTCGAACGTGGAGAAATCCGATTACTTCACTTCTTCTATCTGAAGTTTTTACTGATGGTGTTGTTCAGTAGAAGAACTATGAAAGCTTCACACAACCAAAATATCCAGCTCAGAGAATGAAACACCAAGAGAATCATTCTGTGAATTGAGTGCAATTATATTTGGCTGACGAGTTCCTAAACGGGATGAAACTCACATATCTTTAATTCCCCTAGTATCTGTTATATATATCTGCTTTATTGATTAGCTTCAAAAATCCTTATGAAACTTCACTTTGGTGGGGCTGCGTTAGATTCGACATAGGGCTCATCAGTTTATTGTCCACTGATCTGACTCGCATATTCACGACCAACTAATTATGCTATGAAATAAACCTTCCCTTCAATTTCCTTATGTTGCTGGCTTAGGTGAACCCCGCTTGTGCGACGTTGGTAAGTCAAGTACAGTTTTCCGGATGAATTTCTCTCGTGCATTCTCATTTAGGCAGACAGACATGAGAACGAATAGAGCTGTGTAGAAGGCGAGTGAACCAACTTACTGCGATAAGGCAAATGACTACATATATATATTTAGTTAGGCAATAATAGGCGAAGTAAGCATGTACACACACACACACATACACACACGCTTGATTAGAAACAATGAAGATGTAAGCGAATAATTGGCAAGATCGAAAAATGTGTGAATAATAACTTGAAAAGAAGGGATTAGTGAATTTGTTAAAAAAAATAAGGCAAACTATGTGGGATTGACATCAAAGTAAAGCATACTACAGACAGATTTTTTTTTTATCAAACTACGTTTTTTTCCATAATTCGATTAGATTTTTGAGAAAATTACTTTTTTATGGTAAATAAGGTAAACTTACAAATTGTTAAATAATGTAATCGATAAAAATTGTAGACAACTTATAACATGCAGTTTTCTAGCTTCAGATACCATAGTACAGTCACACATATCATAAAGGATGAAATAATAATCAGAAAAATACTTAATTCATATAGACAGTGTCGGTACAGACCAAATCTCTGAGTTTTCAATTCCGTTTTGATGTAATAGAATCACTAGCTCATTTTACTGGTAAGTTATTGTACAACTTTCTCATAAAACAGTTAGATCAATAGAGCGTTCCATAGAGGTTATTTCATTTTGGTTGTTATCAAGTTTAAAGAAACTGAATTTATAGCAGTGTTGAAATTAACGACTATTAATTATTTTCAATTAGAGTTATGGAGATTAGTGTTTTTACACATTTGAAATCATCAATCAATCCTTATTAGACCACCATTAGAAACCTGGAAACACTGGACGGCCGTTTCGTGCTGGTATGGGACTGCTACGCACTGCTGATGAGTCCCATACCAGCACGAAGTGGCCGTCTAGTGCATCCAAGTTTCTAATGGTGGTCTAACAAGGATTGATTGATGATTTCGGACTATGAAATATTTTTCTTTACAATTTAGGATGGTTTCCCACTTGAGATAGATGGGCGCTAATAATATTGTCCAGAACAAAGGCAAGAACTTCGCAATTATATGGTCTAACTTAGAAAACAAAACACTGTCAAACATTCTGATATTATAATTTACAAATATACTCTTTTGGTAACTTTTAGTTTTCAACATTCTCTTACTCGTAAGATAGTGATTAGAGTTAGTCGACAAGAGGTCGTGGAGCTCGATTGCGGGCTATTCGACATTCATTAAAATGATATACCCGTAATCTTTCGGTGACTGATGGATGTGATCCCGTTGCATTCAGCTTCATAGTCATAGATGTTACCTTTGAACTATTTAAACGATGACTGACATCCTGTGGAATAATGACATGTAGTCACTTCAACAAGTGGCTAAATTATACATTTGATCATTAGAATTCAGTTAGCACTGACAAGAACTTGACATACATGAAATCGGTGACAAATCAGTCATCTTTCATTCGTACATCATCTTAGTTGTATAAAAACTGAGAATACTACAATGGTAACATGTTAACTATGTTGCTATTAAATTGATACAACTGAAATCTCTTCCTTTTTAAATGAATTATTCAACGATAACAACAGTTGACTTTAAACGGGGGTAAACAGAAATCAATCATTCAAACTTAAAACACTTATTTATTCAACACACCTAAACAACTATGTTCCGCGGATAAATTCGGTGCAATACGAAAATATCCTGATAAACATTGACAAATTCTTAGACCAGCTCGTGGAGCAATTGAATTCAATGGACATAAATTGCATGGTTGTAGACCAGGTGATGATTTAAACATTCCTCTTGGACATGCTATAAAAAAAAACATTGAAAACAATGTATACTAGTCGGTGAATTTGAAAATCACATCGAACTTTGATCAACTATGAAATACAATTGTCGGACATAATCTCTGTAGATGGCAGTATTTCGGTTATCTTTTAAGATTTTTTGTAAAATAAAGTATCATGGAAAAAGTAATTTATATCAGTTTATTTTGTAAATAGCCTATTATAGTTTAAAAAAAGAACTTGCAGATATGCAACTATGTTCGTTTGAAGTTTCCGAATGTTTTATATATAAATATATATATATATATATATATATATATATATATATATATATATATATATATATATATATATATATGTATCAGAGATAATCAGTAATATATTAGACTCTTATAGTGTATGATTTCTGTTCCATTCATACTAGTCTTACTTCCAATGAAATGCATTCTAAAATGAACTATTTATTTCATAATAAGCAGGGTTGGATGGTGGTTCTCAGTGAAATTCAGGATGCATTTGCCTTATTCGTCGTTGATCAGCTGCATATACTTATTTTCATGCCGAAACTCGGATCATGCAGTTTTCTTGTTATCTGAGTACAGATAGTCACTCTGCATGTCTAGCAAGGGGATCTTATTTTCCTTACTTTGGATGTAAATTACCTAGCTCACCAGTAATAAGTTTTGTGAAGAATCTTCTCCGAATTCTAGTGAGAGGTTGTGACCAATGGAGTTCAACCCTGTTCGGGTGTGAAGCAGTGCTTACCGAACACTGTGAACTGATTGAAGTTAGACATTTACACCGTCAGATGCCATCGGATCAGTGCTCAAGAGGTTAGTCATTTGCGCGCACGACCGAAGGTCCTAGATTCGATTCATGTTGGGTGCAGGAATCGTGAATGCACACTGCTGCTAAGTCCCGTACCAGGAGTTGACCAACGTTCGGTGCTTCCAGGTTTCTAATGGTGGTCTAACATTAATCGATTCACGATTTCAATGAGTAGCTTATAACCGTAATCTCTAAATAGTTAGGGACATAAGTGCATATATATATATATATGTATATAATGTGAATCTATGTAATTTCCAATCACCTTGACATGTCTCCGTATGTTCTATCATTTCATAGCCAGAATCACATACACATCCTTGATTTGTTTGTAAATGCCATTTACCATCAGCCATACAAAATGCTAATCCAATATTTACATCATTCAAATTATTCAATAATTTAGTTTGAGTAAATTGATCCTGTGAATTTGTGAAAGTAGAATATTGATTGACATAAATGGATCCTGGAATACATTGAACATGTACTTGTCTCACTTCTTTTCCATGTCCAGCTTCTGTTTCTGGTAGATTGATTAGACGAAACTGGAAGAAAAAATAATATAAAGGAATAATAATATAACCAGATAAAATTCGCATACACACCAATTGAGACACAGAGGTTTTTTAGTGAAGTCAGGTAAAACTCTCAAGAACATCATTGTTGAACTATTGAACGGTGTTTCTGGAGAGAGAGGAAAACAGCACTGTTCGAATCGATCACTTGTCTCAATGATCCCCATGATTAATACAAGTGTTATTCAAGACTGCTGTGGTGCGCACTACTTATAAGTAGTATATGACGCGAGTGAAAACGTAATGTCTGGCAGCAGAAGATGGGGGAAGATCAAGAAAGGAAGAGTGGGAACACAATGGAATTTGTATGAAACGCATGAATAGTGAAATGTCAGACAAAGGATTGAAGATTTGCAAATTAACGATTTACGATATGGTTTTCCTATTTTACTGAATAACTCTGTAATTTTCATTAAATACAATTCGGTTGCCCTTACCTGTGTTCTCCTTCACTACACTGAAACTACTATATCGATGAAAATTATGCACACTTGAAAGGTCTCATGGTTTACAGATGTCAAATCATTCTCTGAATGGTGTACGAAAGTCAAATATAAAGTTTAAGAGACTGATCTACACTACATGTTTTTTTGATTACAAAAATGGCTGAACTCTACAAGCGAAATATTATCACAAAAACTCATCGAATCCGAAAGTATTGACTTTTTCATTTTACATTACAGGGGTTGTGAAGATTGTTAAGTTACACATTTTTTTGAAACCATGAATCGATCAATGTTAGACCACCATTAGAAACCTGGAAGCGCTGGACGGCCGTTCCGTCCTGGTATGGGACTCACCAGCAGTGCGCATCCACGACTCCTTGACCCCGCAGGATTCGAATCCAGGACTTTCGGTATTTTGCGCGAACGCCCTAACCGTTAGATCACCGAGCAGGTATCTAAAGGTGCTAATGTCTAACTTGATCAAATTCATGGAGTTGCGCAACCTCATACATAGTCTTTGGTAGACACTGCCTAAACTCGAACAGGTTGAGCTTCACTGGTCACGTCTTCCCACTAGAACTCGGAGGAGATTCCTCACGAAGCTAGTCACTAGTAAGCACAGGTAATTTGCATTACAGGGGTTGTTGTGAAGATTGTTAAGTTACACATTTTACGACAAGAAAACTGTTTGTAATCGTTTTGCATCATCTGCAAAAATAAAACGGAGTTGAGTCTGTGTTTGATGCAACAAAGTGATATTTTCCTTGTCAAACATATCACAATATCTTTCTTTCATTAACTTTATATAAGGAATAGCAATATACATATATACATTTAAAAAATCTGCGCAAGTTTGACTGTCAACCATGTTTAACCTTTTCTTTCTCTAATATTTTCTCTCTTTTAAAAAAGAAAACGTTTATTACTTACTAGAAAACAAAAAAGTGATTTCTAAACACGTTGAGTTAACATTAATTAGGGCAAGAATATCACTTATATATAACAAGATTCCCTAAATTAGAACGCTTAGAATAATTTACTTTCAATGATTAATTTATCAAGTAATAAAGCATACTGAATCACGTTCTCATACAATGAATGACTGACCTAGTTTTTTAATTTATCAACTAATTCGTCATGTAAATTTCATATTCATGCAGAAAAAAGACGAACAAACAGTCAACTATACAAACAATGGATCATTGATGTGCATTCATTGAATAGTTGACTTGAATTGAATAGTTTGACTTTTATTCAAACATATTGATAATTGTGTTCAATATGCATTGAAGTGATTTGTTAAATGTTCATTAATAAATAAGTACAAATTATTTGAATGTATTATATACATTCAGTCTTTTGATTCAATGACTTTTTTTAAAGGTTCAATTCGCCACAAAAAATAATGATTTTATGATAAGCTCTACATGATTTTTTTAAACTACCCGCGTATTGAATTCGATGCAGTAAAACAAATTTTACTCGGCTGATTCTCAAGGACACTTTAAAAATGAGTATAAATACCAGAGATTTTCTCGTTGAATCGCTTACCATTGTAGCCAGAAAAATAAACTAGAAATCTCTCTTATGTTCACAATAATTGTGTTCAGATAAACAGAATTCAGGGTTGTAGAATAAGTTTGATTGACACATTTTCATGTTACATTCATTCGTCAAGTTGATATTATCGATTTTCTTAGCTAGATATACGTTATAACCAAGTTATGGGATGTTAGATTCGTTCAGTGAGTATGATTCTTATTTAACTGTTATTTAACAGGATTATTTTGAAACTTCTACGAATTTTCGAGAAAAAAATATTAGGTCTTCAAAAGTGAAACTAACTTTTCATGGAAGAGTTATAGAGACTATTAAGTTTCATTGAAGCATTTGAAACAATTGATCAATTAAAGTTAAACACTGGTTCAGGGGTCTAAATGTTAAGCGTTCGTGGATGAGACCGAAGGTCCTAGAGTTTCGATTCCCGCGCTTAAGTGTCGTCGATGAGCAGAAGTTGATGAGTCTCATAGAGAGATGAAACAGCTCTCAACTGATTTCATGTTTCTAATACTCATCTAACAGTGGTCAATTCATCATTTCAAAAAACTGATTTACTGAGTAGATTAACTCCGTCTGCAGCTCCTCTGGGGACATCGCCAGTCCCAAGCCCGGAAAAAAGACGGGTGTTGGGCATGGGAATGGTGAACCCATCCCGCAGAAAACAAACTCGCTAAAAAAACGCTAACCAGAAAAAAAATAATTCAAACCATTTTAACTCTGCCCTGGGAGTTAGAAGGTTTTCACTTTGAAGAGTTATGATATCTCATGATGAAGGTCGAGTTCCTTTCGAAATCATGAGGCCGATGCCCCTTCCGACAACCAGAATTAACCTTTCTCACTGAGTATTTAGAATTAGGGTCATTTTGTAAAAATAAAATCTATGATTAATTTCGGAAATATATCATAAAATCATAGTGACTATATATATACCAGTACAGAATTTCATTCGATCTTAGTTTGATGTAGATAAGGAATCGTTTAATCTAAATAATTCTATAGTGATTCCCAATGTTTGCATCTTATCATCATTTTAACTTGAGAGTTCTTAATATGGATCTGATCATTTTAGTAAAATCTGTGAATATTATTTTGAGAAAGAATATACATTTAACTAATAAAGGAGTGAATAACATCTACTAATATGGGACGCATAAGCAATGCACATTCATTGTACTCCACAACTCGCAGGATCTTAACCGTAGACCTTCGGTCTTCCGCCTAACTTCCAAACCTCTAATCCACTGAACTGACATCCAACGATATTATTCTCTAACTTCAACAAATTTACGGTCTTGTTCAACCTTATCCTCTGTTTTCGGTGAACATTTCTTCGCACCCTAACAAGATTGATCTCCACTGGTCACGACTTCTGGACTAGAGTTCGGGGAACCTTCATGAAGGAGCTAGTCACTGGTAAGCACATGATAATTTTCACTATAGGGTTGTGGAGATTGTTGTTTAACTTTCTGAAACGGCCGTCCAGTACTTCCAGCTTTCTAATGAAGGTGCGCTAACATTGATCGATTCATGATTTGACAAAGTAACTCAACAATCTTCACAACCCTCTCATGCATAATAATAAGTAGTTCAATAAAAAGCAAACAATAAACTTAATTCAGTAGTGTGAAACTTTAAATAAAACTTTTCAAAATTACAGTTTCTTCAATTCAAAGTTCAATTCCTGCTTTTATTATCAGAAAGAAAGAAAGAACACAATAGATCATGACTTACTTTAGTAGCTGGACATGATAAATGATATGCAATTAAACGATCAATGAGTACACATGAACCATTATCACGAAATGCTATTTGTAACCATTTCATTTTTGGACGTATTTGTATTGTGACACGTTTCAATGAACTACTTATTATTAATTCATTTGTAAATGATTCACTTGTCTGTTGAAATGTTAGTACATGTAAATCGGTAAAATCCTATAAATTTATAAAATAAGGAAAATGTGGATGAAGTGTTAAGATTTTTAAGTAAAGTTTAATGAATGATCACTAAAATTAGAATCCAGTCAATGAGTTTGATCGTAAATGAGCTCAAGTCCTAAGGTGTTTAGCATCAGCAACAAGATGCATCGACATTTTGAATGACAAGTTGAAATGAGAAAGGAATATACGTATTGAAAATCCAACTGTGAGCTACGTATTGAAATGAAAACTTACCTAGCAGCAAAAGACATCTATATTCAGACAAAATAATGAATTTCATTTAATTATGACTAAAACATTCAATTATTGACAGTTATTTATCTAAAAGTTTCTCTATCACATGTAAAAACAAATTACTTCATTATCCTGTAGTGCAGTTTTAATGCGCTGCTTCAAGATTGGGTTGCATTGGCACCTGAACTAGTGATAGGGAGTGACGTAGTCGAGAGAGTTGACTGTTCCACTTATCTGGGGAGTCTCATCAGTGCTGATGGCCTGGTGACTGAAGAAATCTCAGCTCGGATACAGAAGGCTCGATTGGCTTTTGCCAACCTGCGTCACTAATCACAAACGCGAGATATCCGTTTGCTGAATAAAGGAAGAGTGTACTGCACAGCAGTTCACTCCGTCCTAATTTATGGCTGTGAAACATGGCCAGTGAGAGTAGAAGATATTCGTAGGTTATTGGTTTTCGATCATAGGTGTCTTCGAAGCATTGTTCGTATATCGTGGGACACCCGAGTTAGCAACGCTGTCACTAGAAAACGGGTGCTAGGTAAGAATGGCAGATCAATAGACGCAGTAGTGACACTTCATCAGTTGAGGTGGTTGAGACAAGTGTGTGCGTATGCCTAACCACCGACTGCCTCGACGAGCTTTGTTTTGTAGTGTAGGAGTAGGTTGAAAGAAATTTAGGGGCGGCCAGACCGAAACATGGTAGCAATCCATGAAGTCACTGATAAGTGGACTGAGTCATGTCGGTATGTGTTAACTACCTGGTTAGGGTCCGCGAGATGATAATAATTGATAGTTAGAGACCTTGAATGACATGGCTCAAAACCGTTTGCAATGGCGCCGGTGCATTTATTCTTTCTGTTCTCTCAAATCCTAATCTTCTGGGTTCGTCAACAACTCTAGTTTCGTCTTTCTAAACTTTTCTCACTGAGTCATACTTCTTGAATAATATCTTCTAATCCTAACCTCTCCAATTACTTCTAATACCTTTACTACCTCTTCTACTATTGGATTTGAAACGACAATTGTATCTCTATGCTAATGTGATATGGCAACATGAACTGATGTACTTACGTACGGAGTTCTACGTTTCATCTGTCTGACTGAATGACGCTGAATATAAGTAAATTATTTTAACTCGTTTAATGTATGAGTTTGATAGCATCTTTTTACGGATAATTTACATTACAAACTACATTTGTTCGGACAAATTTCAGATAGCTGAATGACATTTCACTCGATTTCATCTCAATAGTTCGATAGCAATGTCATTTCTCGATTTCTGTAAAAGTTTAGTAAATATTATCCCTTGATGTAGGCTAAATAAAATTGGAATCATTTGAAAACTGATTGGTCAATTGGGTGTCTTGCTATTATTATTGAATGTTGAACACAATAACCTAACAGAAAGAATGTTCGAGAATTTCAATGCGAAAGCGAAATTTAATATTATCAAGCTCGTTACTGCATACAGATTGATCATTGATAAAGATTATTTATTATTCCCGGTAAAATTAACTGGACAAACTGTAACGGAGTCAAAATCACCATGTATGATGTTGCTAACCCGTTCTGTTTTCTTTCTATTTCAGGACGATCAATCAGAAACGCTTTGGAAGCTGCAGAACAAGTTCTAAGTGCTCTGAACTTACAGGATGACTCATAAGACTTTGGTACACTACCCACTCTTTTTTCTGTAGAAACGCCGCGTATTTTAATTTTAAAATAAAAGGGTGTCGTGGCCGTACTTCATGTTCTCTCTTGGTGTGAAGTGTTAAGCTAACTCTGTGTTTTGAAATTTTAGATCTGATCCGCTGTTCGGTGACTGCTGATTACACGTGTTACAAAACAACAACAGTTTTAGATGGTAATATACAAATCGAAAGTTGAAAAGAAAACCGCTTGATCAGTTGATATCAATTTTGAAATTCAAGCAAAATACTGCATACAGATAGAATTGCAAAACTTCATTTGTAAGGTAATAGAAACGTTTTTGGATTTTCCCTTAGAGAATTAATTATCATAACAAGAAATAGCCTAAATAGACTATGCGATGATTCTGACAGATGTAGTCAACGTTTACTATTGATAGTATAATAGATTCATTTGGTTAAATTACGTAAATATATGAAAAATGTACTCTAGCCATTGAAGTTTATTTCCAGTAGGGTAGCGTTGCAATCACCGTTGTTCAGTGCACTCACTACTCTTCACACAACAAAACAAAGTTCTAGTTGCATTATAGGGTTAGGGAAATTGTAGAGTAAATTAATGATATTATAAATCATTTCATGTTAGACCACCATTTGAAAACTGGGGGTCACTGGACGGCAGTGCGTATCCGCTACTCCTGCTCTTCGCAGGATTTGAAACCAGGACCTTCAGTCTTGCACGCGAACGCTCAACCTCTGGACCGCTGAGCCAGTATCTAACGAGGTTAATGTCTAACCACTTCCAGTGTGCAGTGGTGCAGTTCTCACTGAAGACAGTGTATGAGGTTGCGCAAGACCGTGGACTGGTCGAAGTTAGACATTACCATCGTCAGATATAATTTCAGTGGTCCAGACGTTGGGCGTTCGTGGGGAAGACCGAAGGTCCTGAGTGCGAATGAGGTCAATACATAAGACTAAAAGTAAAGGTCCTCCTGAATCTACACATAACTCAGTGGATGTATAACTGTCAATGTCCAACATGATAAACCATGTACTGTATGTGAAAATGACTTTTTCCTTGGTTAATTTTTGTTATTTCATCAGTTAATGGTACTTGGGTAACCAAAAAATATCAAGCACCTGACTACACAGAGTTTTATTGGAGAAATCTAATGTCAAAGATTCGATTAAGTAACTCAGTCAACACGTTCTGGGGCAAGTCCTTATGTGTTTCAGTAGGCTTCACAAAAATTTATGCGCAACTTCTTTTTATAGTACTCAGCTGATATTATTCATACGGTCAGTCAGTCAGTCAGTTCATGTTGCCATACCACATCAGCACAGAGATATAATTGTCAGTTCAAATCTGATAGTAGAAGAGGTAGTAAAGGTATCAGAAGTAATCGGAGAGGTTAGGATTAGAAGATATTATTCAAGAAGTATGATTCAGTGAGATAAGTTTAGAAAGACAAAACTAGAGGTGCTGAAGAATCCAGAAGATTAGGATTTGAGAGAACACAAAGAATAAATGCACCGGCGCCATTGCAAACGGTTTTGAGCCATGTCATTCAGGGTATCTAACCATCGATTATTATCATCTCGCGGATCCCAACCAGGTAGTCGACAATTACCGACATGGCTGAGTCCACTAGTCAGTGACTTCATGGATTTGTGCCATGTTTTGGTTTGGCCGCCCCTAACTTTCTTCCAACCTATTCCTACACTCAAAACAAAGCTTGTGGTGGCAGTCGGTGGTTAGGCATATGCAACACATGTCCCAACCACCTCGACTGATGATGTTTCATTACTTCATCTATTGATCTGCCATTCTTACCTGTCACCCGATTCCTTATAACAGAGTTGCTCACTCGGTTGTACCAGGATATACGAGCAATGCTTCGGAGACATCTATGATCGAATACTAGTAACCTACGAACATCTACTCTTACTGGCCATGTTTCGCATCCGTATAGTAGGACAGAGCGAACTGCTGCACAGTACACTCGTCCTTTAGTCATCAAACGGATATCTCGCCTGCTCCATAAGTGACGCAGGTTGGCGAAAGCCAATCGAGCCTTCTGTATCCGAGTTGATATTTCGTCAGTCACCAGATCATCAGCACTGATGAGACTCGCCAGATAAGTGAAGCGGTTTATTCATATGGTAGATAAAACTAAAATATCCAAAGTTATTTATCGAATAAAATCAACCTTTGGTCTTACATGCAACAGAAAGAAAATGTTGTCACCCGAGCAAACATTTCTAGCCTAGGTATTCACATTTGTGTGGAATATATGTGATAAATCTATCCTCTTGTTATCCGTAAGTAAGTTTCACTTATTAATAAATAGTTAGAGGATGTATTTTAATGTTATCATGGCCTGATAGATTTACTTAACTGATTGATTGATTCATGATTGCAAAGTAACTCAACAAAATCTCCACTAGTCGATAGCGAAAATTCTCATTGGTATTGATTGGTAACTTTGTGAGGAAGTTTCTCAGAATTCTAGTGAGAAATCATGACCAGTGGAGTTCAGTCCTGTTTCAGTTTGAACTAGCTTTCACCAAAGACAGTGGATGAGGTTGCGCAACACCGTGCAATGATCGAAGTTAAACATTAACATCGTTGGATGTCAGCTCAGTTGCCCAGAGGTTAGGAGTTCGCTCGTGCTTCGATTCGTGGATGCACATTCCTGATAACATCCAGGCCAGGACTTGACCACCCTCCAGTTCTTTCAGGTTTCTAATAGTAGTCTTAACATTTATCGGTAAATTCATCCAATACCCAAAGAGAATTACTAGTCAATTCCTATCGGTTAATTCCTACTGGTCAATTTATGGTAGTCCTAGATATCAATGTCACGTACTTCAATGTTGTTTCTCATTGGTTGTCCTGACTATCAATGTCACTTCAAATGTTGCTCCCTATTGGTCATCTTAACTGTCAATGTCACAGAATTCGATGCTGTTTCCTATTCGACCAAAATGTTTAAGAATACGCATTATCTGTAACGTTTTATGACCACGACCAGGACCCGGTCCCGGATCCTTAGTCCGTTATCCTGATTCTCTTCTGGATCTGGACCTCGTACTTTCTGGATGCTTGTAGAATACATGTTCTACTTCACATCAAGTCTTTTCTTCTTTTACTCAATATTGGGTTTGGGATAATCGGATTAGAGTAGTATGTCGTGTCACCGGATCCTCGATCCTCGCTCTGGTTTTCCGACTAAGGTAAACTCGTAATAGTTCCAGTATATCAAGTTGACGTGTTTACGTACAGGCATAACAACCATCGCCACAAACCCTATCTATCGTAAAGCTTTTCTGTCATATATATATATATATATATATATATATATATATTTAGAAATATTACAGTATCGAAGATAATTGTATTCACTGATAGATCTCATTTCAATCAATTGACACTATTTTTTACTCTACAGCATAAATATCAAATCAACTTATTGACACATTTTGTTCGTCTTTCTGCCTACAAAAAACATCATTTGAATAACCATGTTTGTATAAACAAAGAAGCTAGAAATGTGTTTTTGTTAATTAATGTTAAGTGGTTTTTTTTTCCCTTTCTTTTTTCTAAAGCTGACAATTTTGACATAGAGACCTGATATAAAAAAAAACACACTACTGATTTACCTTATAATAATGTAAATGCATTTCACTTCCAAATGAATCATGTTGTTTAGCCTGACAAAATTATAATTTTTAAGTAACATTTGTGTTAAACAACTTTTTACATAGAAAAAAAAGAAACAGCTTTCTTCAAAGGAATAATATTTTAGTGATATGATAGTGGCTAATAGTAGAATCCAAGTTTGGATTACTTTTTTTATGGTTAGTGATTTTTCAGCGAGTTAGTTTTCTACTGTTCGGGCTTGCTAAACTCAGGCCCAAACCTCCTCCTACATACGGGCTTTTGGGCGGCAGTAGCTCCAGAGGGGCTCCAGGCAACCAAATGCATTATAAGACAAACCCTCACTTGGAACCATGAAGGTCAAAGGAAAAGAGCAATGTCATGGAAAACATTACGTCGAGAAATGGAGACAAACGTGGGAAGAATGAACAGAAATTTGATAGAACTGGAAAGCGAAGCCCAGGACAGAGTAGGGTGGAGAATGTTGGTCGGTGGCCTAGGCTCCATTCGGGGTAACTGGCATAAGTAATTAAGTAAGTAAGTATGTAATTAAGTAAGTAGGTAAGTAAGTAAGTAGGTAAGTAAGTAAGTAAGTAAGTAAGTAAGTAAGTGCATAAGTAAGTGTGTAAGTAAGTAAGTAAGTAAGTAAGTAAGTAAGTAAGTAAGTAAGTAAGTAAGTAAGTATGTAAGTAAGTAAGTAAGTAAGTGCATAAGTGCATAAGTAAGCAAGTAAGTAAGTTAGCAAGTAATTGCATAAGTAAGTAAGTAAGTGCATAAGTAAGTAAGCAAGTAAGTGCATAAGGGCATAAGTATGTAAGTAAGTAAGTAAGTAAGCAAGTGCATAAGTAAGTGTGTAAGTAAGTAAGTAAGTAAGTAAGTGCATAAGTAAGTAAGTAAGTAAGTAAGTAAGTAAGTAAGTAAGTAAGTAGGTAAGTGCATAAGTAAGCAAGTAAGTAAGTTAGCAAGTAATTGCATAAGTAAGTAAGCAAGTAAGTGCATAAGTGCATAAGTAAGTGCATAAGTGCATAAGTAAGTAAGTAAGTGCATAAGTAAGCAAGTAAGTGCATAAGTAAGTAAGCAAGTAAGTGCATAAGTGCATAAGTAAGTAAGTAAGTAGGTAAGTAATTAAGTATGTAAGTAAGTAAGTAGAATCTTGCTCTAGCGTTTCCTCCTGTTTGGGACTAGTTGACTGGATTTACCGTAAATCTAAGAGTTGATGTTCACTATCAACCATTGTCCATCTCTAGTAATGATACTTGAAGACTAAAGGCATTGTCAAGGCAATCTGTACAAAATGCACATATTCCGAAAAGGTGATTGATCAATGATTTTCTTCGGTGGTCATCGCAGGAACATTTGACTTAAAGATCCAATCCGTAATGCTGTAGCAGTATGGTTGGGCGATGAAGTCTTACGGTAGCAGGTGATCAACAATAAGTTTTAAGGCTATTTTTTACCTCACGATTCTGAAGCCAATGTTATTCAAAATCACACAAGTTTCCAACTCCTCCAAATGAATCTTTCGTACACACTAACCCGGTTCAAATGTTAAACATTTATCAGATAAACCTAGTAAATGTTTTCATATTTACTGACAAGTTAATTGACATTGAATGTCTGTTTTACATTTCATAGAGATTAAATTAAATTTCACAATAATTGATTTAGTTCAACTTATGTTTGACAATAAGCTTGAGAAATATGATATTATTTTAACTTTTATACAAGTCCAAAAACAGTCTGACATCAGCATCAGTATTGTACAAATGTGTTATTCAAATACTTATACTATATAGACATTAACTCTTTCATTTCTACTTATCAGTAGGTATTAAACTATCTGTTCAAATTTTTTCAAAAACAGTTCATTGGCAAACCATTATATAACCTATTGAATCTCATACCTAAAAGCATCATTGATAAATCTTAATTAATTTAAAAAAATCTGTCAGACATCACTTTCAACTTGACATTTATCGAGTTCAACACAATGTGCTAATTATGCTTCGATTCGATATGTAATTTTTTTACGGATAGACTTAATGCTTCCAACTGACTGTTCTAATCGGTAACAAGTTAACATTGAAGTCTGATAGTTCTGTGCTCGAACTTTGAGGAAATCGTGGATGAGCCTCGCTTTTAGTAGTCCTAATTCACGGCGATACACTCATCAATATTGCTGGAAGTCAATAAGTGATCTACATTCGTTATGCATGCATATAATACAATATTCATGTGCGTATGTCTTTGTAGAATCAAATGTTAAACATTTGGAAACAAGCAGAATTGAAAACAACTTGTTTGGGGACGTTAGATCCCCAGAACTCACTTGATTAAGGCCCTAAATTTGAGTTTTGTGGTTTCGCGCATGGACTGATCAGTTCACCTGTAGACTGTCATTGGTTTATATATTATTTTAGTACGCTATTTTTGTGGCTCTCCTAAGGAAGTTTCTGTGATGTAGAAATAAACTCGATTTTCGTGCTTGTCAACCTCAAATTTTCTGGGTGCTTGTAGAATACACTTCTTCCTCTACTTAGTGGTATCTTGAGTTGATCGAATTAGAGTAACCTGTCGTGCCACTGTATCATTTGTCTTCACTCTCGTTTACCGACTAAGGTGAACACGTAATAGCATTCAAGCATATCAGTTGACGAGCATAACACAAACACATTCATATTTTCAATTAGAGTTAAGGAGATTAGTGTTTTACCTATTTGAAATCATCAGTCAATCATTGTTAGACCAACATTAGAAACCTGGAAGCACTGTACGGCCGTTTCGTCCTGGTGTGGGACTCATCAGCAGTGCGCATCCACGACTCATACATCTCGCAGGATTCGAACCCGGGACTTTCGCTATCGTGCACGAACGCCACTGGGTAGGTATCCAACGGTGTTAATGTCTAACCCTGATTGATCTACGGATTTCGTGTGATCTCACCTATTTGTCTTCGGTAGTTACTGCCTACACCTGACAGGGTTGAACTCGACTGATCACATCTCACTAGAACTCCGAGAATCCCCACACGAAACAAGTCACTAATGAGCACATTTTACGATATTTTCAATTAGAGTTATGTAGATTAGTGTTTTTACACATTTGAAATCATAAATCAATCATCAAACTAACCTTTGGTACCATAGACGATAAATGTACATCAGTATGATAAGCCAATATATCAAAACGTTCTCTACATTGCAATGATTGATGTAAATAACCAAGTTGTAAACAACTTTTCATTTGATATGTAATTTCAAAATGAACATTTAATATTGTATCTGTTTTATACAGTGGACTAAATAACCAAAATTCACTTGGTACATTTTCATTGTCTACAGATGTTGGTGATGATGATGATGATGTTGTGGAAGGCAAGTTTGTTTCAGTTAGAATACTTTGATTGTATAATCCTTTCCGTGGTTGTTTCATTTGGTCATGCAATAGAGAATTAGTTTTTTCACATATACCATAGACAATTTGGCCTGTTCCAGCTAAGCTTTGATAACGCCACTGAAAGTTTGGAAGAAATATGATGAATCCATTAAAACAAAATTGTTCAGAATTCAATCTTATAACAAAAAGTAACAGACACACATAACAGATTTAAGAAGGACTAATGTCGATGTCCGTTTGGCATCAGGTATACTTTTCCCTTTTTCTCAATTTGTTCAACCGAACATTTAGTTTGTAGGTTGATTGAACTAATTTTAAGTGTCTTTGAAAACCAAGAAACACTGGGCAACTGTTTTGTTCGAGTATAGGACTCCGCTAAATGTTGAGTTGCTGTTAAACTGAGTACATTCGAAATTCTAGGTTATTCACAGTATTACACAACGATTATCTAGATTTCTTGGTGAAAACTATTTTGTCAAAGATATACTGGAACACACATGTTCACATGTGCCTTTCTGGAAACTCAGGAAATCATTTGAAATTACGTTTCAAATAAGTTGACTAATATAACTAAACTGACTTATGTGATATACATAAAAATGTTAAAGTAAATAATTGCTTAAGAGTTATTAAATGTGCATATCAGTGTGATCAAAATATTTTTTCAATGCAATTCAATGAATAGTAATGGTAAAACTCTAAAGTTGTATGGTATGCACCTCCTACTTCAAAGTTTCATATGTGGCACTTCAACTAGGAGCTTACACAAGTGCGTTTCTAAGTTAACCAAAACGGAACAATACATATATTCGATATGTCATTTAAGAAAAGGTCGAATGTGTTACACTTGCTTAAAACTATTACGACTTCACCTTAGTCGAATAACGAGAACGATACAATGAACCAGTGTCCAGGTAGGCTACTCTGATCCCTTGACCCAAATATACAAACAAGAAGTCTTTGTATAGCGTAGGAAGTGTATTCTACAAACACCCAGCCCCAACACACAATGAATCCAAGCACACAAATCGCGTTTATTTATACATCATAGAGACGTCCTTGGGAGAATCACAAAATATCACACTAAAATAACACAGTAACCAATCACAGCCAAGGATTCTCCTGGTGGGAAATGTGATCTCAAGGTCAACTGATCAGCTGATGAAATAAATCCGAAATAACGACATTTATCAAGAGAGTTCTGGGGATCTAACATTCCCAACAGAATGCCAGCAATTATTTTTTTTAAAACAAACTTGTTATTAATATTTGAGATGAATATTTTGGATCGTTATTAATTTTAACATATCCATTAATGTACGAATCTAATTTAGTTTTTTTTACTGAAGTCACGAATTATTCAGTGTTACACTACTAATAGAAACCTAGAAGCACTGAATGGCCATTTAGTACGGGTATGGGATTAATCAGTAGTGCGCATCCGCGAGTCAGGAGGAAATGAACCTAGAACCTTCGGTCCTGTGAGCGTACGCCTATTCTCCAACGGTGTAAATGTATAACTTTGATCAATCTCACACAACCTCGCACAACCTCACTCATTGTCTTCGGTAGTTTTTCCCTACACCTAACAGGGTTGAATTCCATTCCATTCTTCTCATTAGAACTCTGTGCATTTCCTCACGAAGCTAGTCACTAGTGAGTACATTGTACGATTTTTAATTATAAGGTCATGGAGATTGTTGTCTGTTACGAAAAATAACACTCAAAGTCTAAAGGTCCTTGGTTCAAATCCTGTGGGTAAAAGGAATCCTAGATGTACACTGCTGATAAGTCCCATACAAGCAATTGACGGCTGTCCAGTGCTTCACAGTGATCCAACAATGATTCATTCATGAATAATTTAATTTTGTTACGTTTAACTAAAACATCAAACCAATTTACTTAATGTATATTATATCAATGTTTATTTCTCTCATTAAAAAAAAACAAACAGTAGAGTTTCGTAATTGTTCATTTAGAAATTAATTGAATAATTTAAGTTGAGCGTGAAAAATTTCCTATATACGATGCTTGTTGATCATCTTGTTAGATAATTTGTCTTGTTTTCAGAGAAAAACAAAAAGAGTCTTCATCTTTTAATTTTTAAAACGCTATTTATTCTATTTTATTTTTGATTAAAATAAAAAGATTGACGTTGTTTGTGATTTTGTTTGTAAAGGTGTACATAAGTTTTGTGTTGTTTTTTTTTTCAATTGATAAAATCAAAACTACAATTAAATCAATTTTTCACGTATCATATTGATATTTTTATACTATGGTCAACTTAGAAAGATCATAGTTAAGTAAGTGAGCTTATTATCATTATCGGAAATGATAAAATACAATCTCTTACAAACAAATAAGACTGAAATTTGTCATATTAAAAATGTGATTGGTCAATCAAGACTCAATAGGTCTGATGAATATGTTAAGGTGATCGCAATTTTGTAGTACAGATAAATGTAGCTAGGTAACAAGGCAAGTATTTTTTAGATTTTACCGGCAACCGCAATTTACAACTCTAATAAATATTGTTTGAGTGACTAGTATTTTTGTTGAAATGAATAAAAGATATTATCGTTTTCAAAAATGTAGGAACAATAATCATTTTTTTGGTGAGTAAGATGAATTTACAGGGCACAGATTAAGGAAAGTACCCAGAAGGAGCCAGAGGGCAAGCCTTAACTTGGAGTCCTCAAGGCCAAAGCAGAAGAGGAAGGCTTTAGACCACATAACACCGAGAATTGGAATCAGATATCAAAAGAATGAACAGTGATAGTGTGGTGCGTGCTACTTATACGAACGATATAAGTAGTATAAGAAGGGACATGAAAGAAGAACTCTCACGGTCGGAAGAGGAAAACGGAAAGCAAATGGAACAAAAGCAAGAAGTAAAGAGGGAGTACCAACAGGAAGGAAAGGAAGCAGCAACAGGAATGGAAGAAGGATGGAGCATTGGAAGTCACGACTCAAAGGTGGTGTGCAAATAGAGTGTTCAATGTAATGTTTTCGTTTTTAATTTTACAAACACTGAAACACAGAGTCAATACTGACTATTTATCTTTTGTTCTTAATATGAATAAATTTTGCCAATATCTTATCTTATTTTCTCACCTCAGAACATGATCAATAGCTTTCTTAAATTTGTCATGATCGTTGTTTGTAAAGTCTACTCAATCTTCTATTTAGCGTTTCTCTATGGTCTAAATGTGTATATAAGGTTTCATAAGGTTTTCACCAACTCTGAAACTAAACTTTTAAAGAACAAGCTTCCTCTTTTCGTTTTCATTTCTTCTTTACATTCTGAACTATGTTTGTAAGTAACCATTACATAGGAAATGGTAGATACTTTTGGGGCAGAGATTTGGAGGTTTGTGTTTTTTTACACATTTGAAATCATCAATCAATGATTGTTAGACCACCATTAGAAACCTCAAAGCACTGGACGGCCGTCATGTCCTGGTATGGGACTCATTAGCAGTGCGCATCTACGACTCCAGCTCCTCGCAGGATTCGAACCCGGGATCTTCGGTATTGTGCGCGAACGCCTAACCATCGGACCACTGGGCCGGCATCCAACGGTGTTAATGTCTAACTCTGATTAATCTACGGATTTTGCGCTACCTCACCCATTTGTCTTTGGTAGTTACTGCTTACTCCCGACAGGGTTGAACTCCATTGGTGACGTCTCCTCAACTAGAACTCCAAGAATTTCCTCACGGAGTTGATCACTAGTGAGCACGTTTACGATATTTTGGGGCAGAGTTTTGGAGATTTGTGTTTTTACACATTTGGAACCACTGCTGATGAGTTCAATACCGGGACATGGCGGCCGTCCAGTGCTTCCAGCTTTCTAATGGTGGTCTAACAATGATTGATTGATGATTTTAAAAAATGGTCGATACAATTATCGAATAATTTAAACGACTAATTTGTAAAGTTAGTACCATGAATAAATAGTCAGAATCTGTAACTCAAGTCTTGGACCACTAAACCATTTTATCAAATACTAATAACACATTCATCGTCCCTTGAGATATGTATGCTTGAATGTACAATGCTGAGATAATTGACACTGTGAGAAGCCTGCCTATCTAGAAATACTGTCAGTATCAAATATAATATCCAGTTTTGTTTCATTATTTAATAAAACTGAGTTTAGTCTTTTTTCCAAGTTATACTCGTTAGTATTGAAACCAACAGGCTCCTCATAGAGATACAGGATGTTATTGAAGTAAATTGTACTTCTTTAGTGTACATTAGCGAACGAAAAAAAGTCAACAAAACACTAATCAAACAATTACTTACTCCAAAATATTTGTCACCATTTTTAGTCCAACTATTCCAACCAGAAATATAGGTATCTTCAAGTATTGCTGAAATAAATTTATCAAGAAATAACATGTTGACTTTAAATTAGCAAGTTTTAAAAAATTTATTCGTCACTTCATAAAATAACTGCAATCGAATTGATAAAACAGTGCAGAATCAGTTCAATCAAAAAGTCAATATTATACGAACAGGTACTGATTTAACTACAATCTTAAACATTGAAAATAAGGCGGGAAACAATGAATCTTCCAGTAAATATAAAAAAACTAAATACTTTGAACATTCACACCAAAACTAGTTTTTTAACACATTTAATTGGAACTTCAAATTTATCGGGTAGAGGATTCATCGAATTGAGTGTTTTTCGATAAACTGGTGATTTTATTTAAATAAAATTTATTCATATTAATTGGAAGTCAAGACAACTATTAAGCGACACCGAAATCAGAATTTTAAATACGATTGTCAAGACAGTTCTAATGTATGAGGCGGAAACTTGGAAACCTACCAAAGCCATCATCTAGAAGATACAAGTGTTCATCAACAGTTGTCTATGCAAGATACTTCAGGTTTTTCTACCAGACATCAACAAACAACAACCTAATGTGGTTTAGAACAAACTAGATTCGATTGGAGGAGGAAATCAGGAAGAAGCGGTGGAAGTGGATAGGACACATAGTGAGGAAAGCACTCTAATGCACCACAAGACAAGCCGTCACTTGGAATCCTCAAGTCTAAAGGAAAATAGACAGCCAGGATGCAGATGGATGATCTGGACTTCGCAGATGATCTGGCTCTTCTGTCGCACAAATGCAAGAGAAGACAACCAGTGTAGCAGCAGCAGGTCTCAACATAAATAAAGGAAAAAGCAAAATTCTCCGATGCAACACAACATGCACCAACGAAATCACTCTTGATGGAGATGCGTTGGAGGACGTTAACACCTTTACATATCTTGGCAGCATCATCGATGAGAAAGGTGGATCCGATGCAGATGTGAGGGCACGGATTGGCAAATCAAAGGCTGGATCTCTACAGTTGAAAAATATCTGGAACTCCAAACAACTTTCAACCAAAACCAAAATCAGAATTTTCAATACAAATTTCAAGACAGTTCTACTGTATGGAGCGGAAACATGGAGAACTACGAAAGGCATCATCCAGAAGATACAAGTGTTTATGAACAGTTGTCTACACAAAATACTTCGTATTCGTTGGCCAGACACCATCAGCAACAACGAACTGTGGGAGAGAACAAACCAGATTCCAGTGGATGAGGAAATCAGGAAGAAGCGGTGGGACTGGATAGGATACACACTACGAAAAGCACCTAACTGCATCACGAGACAAGCCCTCACAAGGTAAAGAGGAAGGCCAAGGAACACATTACGCCTAGAAATAGAGAAAGATATGAGAGGAATGAACAAACATTAGACAGAAATGGAGAGGGAAGCCCAGGACAGAGCTGGTTGGAGCAAACTGGTGGGCGACCGATGCTCCATTGTGGGTAACAGGCGTAAGTAAGTAAGTAAGTAAGTAATGGTCGTGGCACATCTCAAAGAATTCTTCTAATGATCGTTTAATGACAGGTCAAATATATCAACATTTTAGATGATGTAACTGAAAAAAACATGGTGAGATGGTATCATTTTGGTTTTAGCTTTCGTGGTGATTGGGCATGGACCCATGTAAACTGTTAGAAACGATTGAATATAACATAAGGTGAAAATTTGTTCACAGTTGATTATCACAATGAGTATTTTATTTGATTTGGTAGGCGGTCGAGTAAGTAAAAACTTTAATCCGAAACTTTAAGGTAATTTCATCACTTATCAAAGCAGGTCTTAGAAAACAACATGATTTTTCCAAACCGTTTATTGATTTTCTTATTTTCTCGTGTTTTCGAATTCAATTAACAATTTTTGTGAACAAAATTTATCATGTAAATAAAAGTTCATTGAGGTTTTAAGCACCGCTTCAGTTGCATCCTCTGGACATAATTCTCGTATATGATTGAACAGAATTCTAGTTATATGGTATTCTAAATTCTAGTATAAGAAAAGTACAATATTTCCCAGTTAACTTATTAATAGACATTGCAGGGTTGTTGTGAAGAATGTTAAGTTTTATTTGTAACCATTAGAAACCAGGAAGCACTGGACGGCCGTTTCGTCCTGGTATGGGACTAATCAGCAGTGCGCATCCATGACTCCTGCACCCATCAGGATTCGAACCTAGGACCTTCGGTATTGTGCGCGAACGCCCTAACTGTTAGACCACTGAGCCGGTTTCTAACGGTGTTAATGTCTAACTTGATCAAATTCACATGTGTAATACAATCAGGAAATCAACACCAACAACAACGCAAGTTCTTTTGAGATGCGATCCTCCCGCTCTCGGATCGGCTTGCATTGGCACTTGAACTAAGGATAGGTAGTGCAGCAGTTAAGCTCGTCGACTACTTCACTTACCTTGGGAGTCTCATCAGTCCTAATGGCCTGATGTCTGATCAACTCACTTTTGCTAACTTGTGTCACTTATAGCGTAGGCGAGATATCCAGTTGCTAACCAAAGGACGAGTCTACTGTGCAGCAGTTAGCTCTTTACTTCTATGTGGATGTGAACTAGGGCCACTAAGGGTAGGGAATATTAATAGATTAACGTTATTCACTCTTAGATGTCTTAGAATCATTGCTCTTATATCTTGGTTTTAGGAAAAAAGAACTAAATAAGGAAGACAAATCAATTGATGAAGTGACGAATCTTCATAAGTCCAATGGGGTTAGGACATGTGTTTCGAGCGCCCAACCACCGATGTGATGTAGGAGTGTATACTGAAAGAGTGCTAAGACACCTAAAGGTGAACTGAGCCATGTTAGTAAGTGTAGACTACTTGAATGGGGTCCCCAAGACAATGGTAATCGGTGGTTAGAGACTTATGATGATATGGCCGAAAATCGTTTGCAGTAGCAAAGGTGCATCCATTCTTTTGTTTTCTATTAACTTCTAATTTTCTGAATTCTCTTTTCAAACTGATTCCACTGGATTATACTTCTTCAATAAAATCTTGGAAATCTAATCTTACCCTTAATCCTGATACTTCAACTACTCATACTAATATAGGATTTGATTTGATACTTGATTTCGCTTTGTTAATGTGGTATGGCAACTTGGACCGATCTACATTAAGCAGGAAGTACTACTTTATATCTGACTGACTGATAATACCAACAAGATTAATGTTAAGCTCGTCACTTGATATGGTTGAAACTATTACAAGTACATCTTAGTCGATAAACGAGAACGAGCCAATGAATCACTGACACGATAGTCTACTCTGATCCGTTGCCCGAACTAACTGAAGAAAATTTCTTGATATGGCGTAGAAAGTGTATTCTACAAATACCCGGCAAGCACAATCATCTCAAGCACACAAATTGCATATATTTATACACCATAGAAACGTCCTTAGGAGAAACACAAAAGTAGCATACTAAAATAACATATATAACTAATCACGGCCAAGGGTTTTCCCAGTGGGAAATGAGATCTCAAGGTCAACTGACCAGCCCATGAATAAAATCCAAAATTAAGGCCTTTATCAAGTGAGTTCTTGGTATCTAACGTCCCCAACAATTAAAAACGGAATCATATTAGCATACTAACAAATTGATTCAATGCAGTTATTTACAAATATAAATAAGCTTACTTACAAATTGCTTCTTTACAACTAATCTAAGAATACAACATATCATTCTTTCAAACATATCATATCATGGTTTATCTTACACATTTGTTCATTTGTTTTAATCTATTCAAACCACAACATCATGTCCAATATGACAGATGATTAATGTTAAATATTGACGTATTTATAATGCATATGTATATAATATGCACATTGAAGAGTATTTTACGCGAAAAAGGATCAAATTACAATAAATATATATACATTAATGATTACTTCACAAAACTATAAGATTTTATTTTGACATCTCATAATCAGCTATTATCTTCTATCAAACAACATCTTAGTCATCATCACAAATCACTTGTTATTCACAAGTCTTTCAATTATTGTTAAAAGCCTTGTCGAAATAATTCTTTGTTTTCTGATTCAGTTAAAAATACATGGTTCGATAATTGTGACAAGATTACAACGAAGAGGAAAAAGGCTAGTGAAGATATTTTTAAAAGGATTATCAAATATATATATATATATATATATATATATATTGATAGTGATTTTCTATTATTATCGAGTACTGCTCACTTAGAGTGAAATTCAATTCTTTAACAGTTATTCTTATTGTGTGTGTGGTACTAAATTAGACTAAATTAGGTTAAGCCTTCGTACGCAAGACTGAAGGTTCTGGGTTCAAATCCTGCGAGTAGTAGGAGCTGTTTATGCTCATTGCTGATGGGTCCAACAACATCAGTTGACGGCCGTCCAGGGCTACCAGGTTTCTAACAGTGAACTAACAATGAGTAATTCATGACTTCACCGTGAGAAAATAATAATCTCCATAACTTATTTGTAAACACATTCTGTAAACACACACTGAAAGTTAATGGTTTCCCAACAACAAACAGATGGCAATGAGCGTAGAAAATAATTCATGTCAAACTACTTAAAACATGAAATCACTCATTTTATTCGGATTTGTTTTGTATTCGTAAAGATAATTGAATTCTTAACACTGTTTGTAGTATTGAAAATTGAATTTAAATTTTACAAACTTTATATGAGATAGTTTATCATTAACATTTTAGATATTTTTTCAAGTTTCCCATAATGTTCTTGCTAGTGTGGTGTGAGCTACTTATAAGTAGTATATGATGTGAGTGACAACGTAATGTCTGGCAGCAGAAGATGGGGGAAGATCAGGCAAGGAAGAGTTAGAAAAAAATGGAATTTGTATGAAACGCATAAATAGTGACAATGGATTGATGTTTTGCAACAGGAACAGTCCAGTTCCATAGGATGAACTGATCTTTTGCAGATGAACGATTTACGATATGGTTTTCCGATTTTACTGAGTAACTCTGTAATTTTCGTTAAATACAGTTCG